GAGGAGGTTATTTCTGTTTTGTCCTTCCTGGGCAAGACAGCAGGATTCTCCCCATGCTGCTGTCTCCCATGTGGGCAGCCAGCCACTGTTCCACAGCAAGTCCTGGCTGCCTAAATGACGTGAGACCCTACAAAGATCCTCCAAGCCACTGGTTACAAGTGGTGAGGATAGGCCCAGGAGCGCACCTGCTGGGTTCAAAACCCAGCTCTGGCAATACAAGCCATGTTGTAACTAGAATTCTAGACCAGTGGCCCAATTCCAGGGGTTCCACGTGTCAGGTCCAGTCACTCACCCACTGTGCCAAATACAGAGAGCAGTGGTGAAGGGCAGAGAAAGATTTGTTATATGGCACAAGACACGCCATGGGAAAGAGGCAAAGTGACACTCAGCCCACCTTTGGGTACAGGTATGAGCTTTAGGTTCAAATAGGAGAAGATCTGGGGCAGGGAGTGAGAGGCGTACATAATTGAATAGTCCCGGTCCCGGTCACAGGTGTGGTCAGGTGTTCATAGGTGGTCTGGTTGGTTATCATCTGAGCACGAGTCAGGCGGGGCCTGGTCATGATAAGAGTCATTGGTAGATGGGGGTATGTCTACTCTTGTTGCAGGATATTGTTGATCAATCCTGTCCTTCCTAGATTCCAAGGTGGCCGCAGGGTGACTTCCAGAGCACAGACAGGTATAAAATGGAAGCCCACCCCCCAAGCTTTGTAGCTGGGTTCAGTTAACTGGCAGGCCCAAGTCAGGAGTTGGTGCTTTTTTTTTGCAGTACTGGGGCTTGAACTCAGGGCCTACACCTTGAGCCACTCCGCCAGACCTGTTTTGTGTTGAGTTTTTTCGAGATAGGATCCCCTAAACTATTTGCCCAGGCTGGCTTTGAACAGTGATCCTCCTGATCTCTACCTCTTGAGTAGCTAGGATTACAGGTGTGAGCCACCAGCACCTGGCCAGAGTCAGTGCTTTTTAGCAAAAGCAGTACTTGTTATAATGTGACCCCAGACAATGTGCTTAACCTCCTTGAGCCTCGATTTGCACGTCTGTTAAATGGGCATACTAAAATCACATGCATCATGAGGTTGCCAAGGGGGTGAAATGTGTAAGTACTTTTAAAAAGGCCTAGCACAAATAGCACTACCAAGTGATCAAACAAATATTACTGAATACCTCTATGGGCTGTGAACAGATGCGTGCCTACTCCAATAAGACTCTGGCTTATTTGGGAAGAAGGAGCACCCATGGGAGAGAGTTTCCATGAAGTGCAGTGTGCCAGGAAGTGAATGGCAGCCCCAGCCTACATGGAGGGCCTCCCTGAGGAAGTGACATTTGTCAAAACCTGGGATCATGGTGGAGCTTTGGAGCTCCTTTTCAGCCTAGGGCTCTTGGTTCCTTCCTGGTGCTAGGGTGGCAGGAAGGCTCCTGGGGCCACCTGAATTCAGGGCTCAGAGGACAGGAGGGCTAGGGGGCTGCTCCCACGCTTGTGCTGAGCTCCCCTGAGCATGAGGGAGCACAGGACTCTGAGCTCAGGCATCTCTGCTCTCCACCAGGCCTGCAGCCTGTTCCGTGCTGGCCAGGGGCCGGGGAGGAACAGCATGGAACAAAGAAAGATGCCGTGTTACGTTTTGTCCACTGGGTGGCGTACTTTAGCCAAAGAAGGGCCCAGTCACCTAGGAGCTCTTTCCTGCGGAGAAGGGCTTAGATTTGTCCGGAGTCCCACCCATCAAGCCTCCTCTACCGGGAACACTTAGCACTTTCCTGTGAGCACAGCACAGCCTCAGCCTATGCCAGGCCTATCCTGCTCCAAAAAAAGCTCGTCATAAACTTTCAAATTTGAGAACCAGGAAGGGACCACAGGTCAGCAGTCTGACCCTCTTTTTCTCAACTTGGCAGTGAGGGTAGAGGGGTGAGGAGAGCTTCAAGTCACACAGGTGGGCAGTGTCCAGATCCCCTGACTTCCTGGCCAAGGCTCTTAGTTGCTCAGATCAACACCTGTGCACCTTTGCATGTACGTGTGACCTCTGAATGGAGGTGTGTTTGAAAAGATAAAATAGTCTGGACAAGGAAAGTAACACTGACATAGGGAAAGGAAGAGGTGAGCAAAGCCCCTTCTAGGCTTGTCTCCCGGGAGCTGGGGAGAGGCCCACAGGGGTGGGGGTTCTCTTTCCTCAGCAGTTTTCTTTTTTTTTTTTTGCCTCACCCTACCTCTCCTTCAGGTCCAGGTTCCCTCCATCAACCGGCCACTTGTCCCTGGCTCTTCCCTCACCTTTCTCCGTTGTTCTCTACCTGATAGCATGTTGCACACACACACATGCACATGCACACGCACGCACACACACACGCACATGTACCCACCCTTTGTTCTTTGATCACTCTGTGCCCCTCCTCTAGGATATAAACTCAGGGGTTCAGGTTTACAGTGCTTCTATCCCCTGTACCCAGAAGAGTGTGAGGTACATAGAAAACGACTCATCAAAATTTGTTTACTTGATAACCAAATGAAAAGACCATGGCTTCAAGTCCTCCTTCATTGGTAAAATGGACTGTCATGAAGATCAAATCAAATAACATATGCGAAACGATTCTGCCCCCTGTCAAGAATAAACAAATTAAAGGAGTGAGGTTGGGGATTCTAGAAGGTTCCTTCACAGAGTGAAGAAATGGAAATTGTTAGAAAAACAAGTGACCTATGTCATATGTTGTGAGAACAGTGAACACTTATTTGTATTGGCTTCTTTATTTTGTTTTACTCCTTCTTGTTTAAAAACAAAACACAACAAAAAAGAAGTCTGTTAATGTCACATAAAAACATTTGTGACTGTGTGTCCTCAGGGCTGAGCTGCAAGCCCCAAACAGAGTCCACGATTCAGACAGGAACTTCCCACAACCCGGGCTTGCCAACAGAAGCCAGATTACCGGTCTAAACCCAATTTTTAAAAATTTGCTCTCTGCCGTGGCAGCTTTGTCAGTTGTAAATCAGCAGGAAATGCAAAGACTCTGACCTTAAATATTTCTTAGTTTTTCAGTGACACACACATACACAAAAAAAAAAAAAAAAAGAAAAGAAAAAAGAAGAACATCCCACTTACATATTAAGGGAAGTGGAGCAAATTCTAAATAAAGTTAACCCAATGAGATTCAGATGACTGGGAATGGCTTGGGCATGCTGTCCTCAGAAAGACACGACATCCATTGTTTCACTCAGAAGTCTTTTCATCTTCTTGAATTTTTCAAAGAAAGCAGAGATTTCACTGGCTTGCCAATGACCTGGAAGGCTACCTGGGACTTGTGATGGTCATTCTTGGCTCCATCTTTAAACAGTGGAGAGACTATGTTACCAGAATGAGCCCAATGCTGTCACAGACATCAGTGATGGGATCCCCAAGGCCCTGGTTTTCTGGAAGTGAAATGGGGAGCCATTAGCCCCCCTAGACACAGCAGAAAGCCTCCCCTCACCTGGAGAGACCACTGGGATTCTCTGTTCCTTCCAGCCCCTGAGAAAAATGCAAGTGCTTGGTTTTCCAATCAATGGAAGACAAAAGCAAGGTCAGAGTCCTAAAGGCCATTGACTCCTCTACAGAGTGGGAAGATCTGACCGGAGGAGATTGTCAAAGAGCCACTGAAGAAAAGGGTGTCTGCAGGGGGACTGCCCAAAGCAAGAGGCAAAGCAGGCAGGAAATCCTGCTTTAAGCAGAGATGAGCTCACACCCTGGCCCTTAGGAACTCCACCATCTACTGATCTCTCTGAGCCTCAGTTAGTTTATCTGTACAATGGCCATGAATCACTTCTACCCCAGTTGCCTGCTGGGTTCATGGAAAGAATGGACAGGAAAAGGTTCACAAGCAATTAAAGTTAGAAACAGACAAATAATTATAATAACAAATTTTCCACCTCCCCCCAGTGAGGATGAAACAAGTGAACACTACCATTTTTAAGTCCCTACATTGTGACAAACTCATCTATGTGCTCCAAACCTCATCGTTACAATCATCCCTTTTTACATAAGGGATCTGAGAATCAGAAATGGTGAGTGACCCTCCAAAGTTCATCAGCTATGGGAAGGCAGAGGAGGAATGTGAACTCTGATCTGTCCCGCTCTGAGAACCTCTACATCAGTCTATCTCTAGTGAAGAAGAAAGGGGCAAAAAGGTACATCAAGAGTTAACAAAAGCTGAAGTATGACAGCATTGACAGCAGGAAACTCAAGAGGGTTTCTGAGAGAGGCTGGTGAACCTTTGTTTTATTTGATTTTGAAATGAGGACTGGCTCTCCTGGCACTGGCAGGGCTCAGCTGTGGGCAGTGGCAGAAGGATGGGTTGGGGCATCTGGAGCCCTTTGTACACAGAGCCAGTGGGAAAGGGTGACTCTGTGTCCCTTGCTCAGGGCCTGGCTTGGCCATGTGGGCATGGGGCTGCATAGCACAGCCAAGGCTAGGTTTCCAGATAGCTTGGAAAGTCAGGAGAGGAGTGTGATTTCACCTCCAGGGTGCATTTTGTTCACTTGTTGCACTGAGTTGTAATGTGGTCAGGAAAGGACAGGCCAATTATTTGCCCTAGAAGAATTCAGCCTGGCAATGTCCAGGTAGCATTTTGCATGTTCTGACCACCGCATTTTCTAACTGGCACCATGTTCTCTTCCTGCTTTTTCCTTTCATTTTTCTTCCTCCCTCTCTGTTTTCTTTCTCCTCTCTGACCTTCAGAACCTGCTAATTTTATATGTCTACAATGCCTTCGTTCCCCATCCCCCTATGTCTCCACCACTCTGACACACTCTATCAGTGAATCCCTCAACAGTGTCATATCTAACTTTTTTATTCATTGCATGATTTATTTTTAGCTTGAAACAACTGCATCCTAAAAATGGAGCTCTTAATGAGACAGGGGCTGGGCAGAGCTGTGTGAGGTATCTGGGGCTCAGCCTCCCAGCCTCCTGCCTGACTCGTACTCTCTGCGCATGTGTACATGGCTCTGTACTCTTTGTCCTGAGCCCAAGACTACACAGCTCTGGGGACCCAAGGAGGTGGGGAGATCAGTCTCTCTGCTCCCTACTGGGCTCCACGGAGCCTCCAGGACTCTTCCTTTCTCTCCTTCACACATTATTTTGGGGACCGAGTGGCAAAAACTTCTCCCAAATGAAGACAGCTCACCTGCTAGTCGTGGGGGTCTATCTGCTGACCTCCTGCAAGGCAGAAGATGGACTGAACTTTCCCATATATGACGGGAAGGACCGCGTGGTGAGTCTCTCTGAGAAGAACTTCAAGCAGACTTTGAAGAAATATGACTTGCTCTGTCTCTACTACCACGAGCCGGTGTCTTCAGATAAGGTCGCCCAAAAGCAGTTCCAACTGAAAGAGATTGTGTTGGAGGTGAGTGAGCAGGGGACAGACAGGGTGACCGCCTTCCTAAGGTAGCATGGGGCCAGGTATCTTTGGCCAGGCGTTGGGGTATGGAAACGAGGGTACAGATGATATATACTGATGACAGCTGCATTTTAGTTTCATATAAATCAAACACATTCTTGTTGCAAAGCCAAGGTGAGTGAACAAACTCATCAAAAGGACGTATGCAATAGGTCTGATCTAAAGTCTTTCACATCCTGGTCCTCTTAGTTTTTCCAGCATTCTTGTTCCACCTGAGACAATGTTCAAACTTTTGCTAAACTATTGACTGAAATGAAATTCAGGAGTTACTTGTGGGGTTCAGTCAGTGCCAATTGTCCACTCTGCTCCCTTGAGTCTCCCCTGGATCCTGGACAGGCAAAGAGTCCTTTGACCTTGTCTCTCCCCCAAATTAGGAATTATCATTTCCTTGGCTTTCTCTCTTGTATTCACTTTCTTGGGAAGCATTTTGGAGTGGAGGCGTGTGGTGTTCTGGGATGCATATTCACCAATGGGGATTTTTTTCTCAGAAACTTTAGTGTGAGTGGAAAGCACACGTGCTGAAGTCACTTCTTATTTTATCTGTATTACATGGCCTGCTGGTCACCTGGCACTGGGGCCGTTTCTAATCCTTTGTGAGTGGCCCACAAATGACCCCTACAGCTCCTCCAGGCCAGCTGAGGGCTGCCCAGACTTCAGGAGCATGCATACTGCCAAGTCCCCCCAGGCATCCAGAGCCTCCTCAGTCCCCATGCCTGGCCCGTGCACCTCTGTGGAGAGGACGCTCTGAGAACTATGCAGCTAGCACAGTCAGAAAGTTCAGGTTAATCAAATAGCTTGATTTACAAAATGACCATAGAAAACCCATCTGGATAAAAACTCCCAGCAACAATTCAACTATAATAAATTCCAGCAAAACTATCTTGAATACATCAAAATAAATTTGATGATTTATGAAGCACTTCAGAATCCTAAGTGCCTCACTATCATCCATGAGCTCTGAGGCTTTGATTTTCTCACACTCGGTCCATTCTGGGAGCTGAGTGTAGGGGTTCAGTTTCCCTCTGTGGGTTGTAAGTGAAGAGAAAGCAGGTCTCTTCACTTCTTCAGGCCTTTGTGCTATAGAACTGAGAAAGTCACAGGCTTTTTAGGACATGGGCTGCGTGGCCCATGAAGTCAGCACTCACATCGTGGTCTCCATTTTCAAATGCCACCCTCAACTACTGAGAGGCATTTTCATAGAGGGTAGAAGGATTCTACTCTACCTGTGCATCACTGTCCAGTTAGTCTAGAATCCAAAAAGAATGCCTGTGTGTGGCCAGGACAAGCAATCCTCCCCCACCCCATCTGACTCCCTATAATACTAAACTCTCTCTCTGTAACTGTATATACACTATACCTAGTATATTTCTCCCCAAAGACTAAGTTCTAGGAAAAGTCATGAGGGGGCTTCCCCCGGTTTTCCCATCAGTTCAGACACCTTTGATCCACGTGGTGCCACAGCAGATGGAAATTCAGCTTGGGAGCTAGACTCATGCCTCTTAGGCTCTTAGAGCAGGAGTGGGGAAAGGGAACACAGAACTTGTTGCAAGGTGCTCTTGGCTTCCTCCTCCTTCTCCTCCTTCTGGGGTACTGGGGATTGAAGCGAGGGCCTTGTGGAAGTAGGCAAGGGCATACCTTTTTGAGACACCTGTCATGTGCAGGCTCTGGTTCTCAGAATCCAGAATGAAAATGGCTCCAGAAATCCCATGGGTACAAAGACAGACTATCATGAACCTTGAAATTTTCCTCTTGGCCAAAATAACTCTTTGGCTTTCTTAATTCTCCAGATCCCAAACTTGCAATAAGAAAGAGATTCTTCCAGCTCCAGGGCTGTGGCTATTCAGTGGGTGAAGGAGAAGAGGAGGCAGCTCCCAGTCCAAAGGCAGTGCACGTCTATCAGGTGCTAGAAAGACATGTGTGTTCCACCACATCCAACTTCTTCCTTTATTTGGATGAAGGCTGTCCTGGGGGTTTAAACTCAGGGCCTCAGGCTTGCTAGGCAGGCGCTCTACCACCTGAGCCACTTGCCATTCCTTTATGCACTGGTTATCTTTCAGATAGGGTTTTGTTTTATTCCCAGGGTGACTTGAACCTCAATCCTCCTATTTGGGCTTCCCCATGTAGCTGGGGATGACAGGCCCACCGTCAGAAGGGATGGGGGTCTCGTGAACTTGTCCAGAAAGGCCTTGAATCTCTGTTCTCCTGAGTAGTGAGGATTACAGGCATGGGCCACTGTGCCCAGCCCCACCCATCTTTTTATGTTTTTCCATTGTAAGTAACAAAATACCTATGGAAAAGTTTAATTTACAAATTAGACACACTAAAAGATTAACAACAATAACTAGCAATAGAACAATTATAGCAATATACTATAATAAAAGTGATGTGTTCTTTCTTAAAATATCTCACAAGGTCATTAAAGCTTAGCAGCAAAGGGCAAGTAAAACATCACCAGGAAGCACCAACTTCACATTTTGCTTTCCAATCTGGCCAGGATCTAGCTTCCAAGTGTCCCAGGGTTAGTGCACAGTACATAGTTCTCTATGGATGTTCTACACGTTTGTCAAATGAATGAATAAAATGTTAGAGATCAGAAAACCTTGGGACTCACCAAGATTGTTTTGAACCCATCATTTCATAGTCATGCCCTTGACTTATTAGCTGTTAAGCCTAATTCCTGGTTGGGCCTTCTTCATTAACAAAATAATATGTACTCATTTAGAAATTTGGAATATATAGAGAATAACCACGTAGAAGTAAACATGGTTAACATCCCGAGAGACTTCTTTCTAGTATTTTCTCTATGCATAAACTCACATTTTTCAATTAGGATTATATCATTTATATCATTTTGTCTCTGCTTTTTTAGTCACCCTATTCCTATGTCACTAAAAAGTTTTATATTCTTTGCAAACATAATGTTAATATATTCCATTGTATCACCATTCATATTTTAAAAGTCATTTTCTTATCTTTGGATCCTGACACAATTTTCAGGTTTTTAATTGTTTTTTGGCTAGTTAGATGTTTATTATTATTTCAATGAATATTTCTTTGATTTCTAGCTAGGTTGATTTTTTTAAAAAGAAAATTGCTTGCCATTTATCTGCTTTTTTCTTTGATGAATTGTATTTCTATCCCTTTTCCCATTTTTCTATTATGATGTCAACACAAATTAGAAAGGGAGTTGTGACTTTTATGTTGTCTCCTGCAGCACCAGCCAGGACAGTAACTTTAGTCACAGGCAGTGGCCGGCTCCTGTCAGGGAGTCTTATAAAACCTGGATACTGAGAGCAGGGTGTGGGCAGTAAATGGGGCTCCCCCTTGCTCCTTTGTTTCCTGCTTCTTCTTTCTCCTTGAAACTGCTGTGCAAGCCACTGTTTCTGCTATGTTCTGTGAATGTGGGCATAGAAAGTCCTCCAACACGGGCAGCCTCCTCTCAGGTAGAAATGCTGAGAGATGGTGTCCAACAAGGACTTCCAAATCAGATAGACAGGACAAAGTTCCCAGGAAAAAGCAATGCACTCAGGTCCTTGTCTGTAACATGGAGATAACTAGATTGTGAGGACTGAGAGAGGTCACATGGCCAGAGCACAGCTTCTGCTACACCCAAGGCATTTAACAAGGACTGGAGCCTTGCAGTCGGGGTTTTAAACACAGCCCCAACTAACTTCATCCCTTTCAGCCAGAGGGTACCATGTCACCCATCTACCTTCACTGATCCCTGGCTTGCCTGTGGTCACAGACTCTTGACGGTCCCTATGCTCTTCCAGTGTGCTGAGCCCTGTCTGATACATTCAATAACCTCGCCAACACCCTTTGATGAGTTAGCTCCAACTTCGGACTCCTTCTGATGAGCTCTTTCTTCCCACAGAGACTTGTGCTAGGTTTCTCCTTTTAGATTGTCAGCCTCCTGAAAGCAACCCGAATTCAAAGCAAATCTGATAACAGGGCAAACAAAACAACAACAAGCCTTAAACCTATGTCAAGTTTACACTGCTCAGGAAACTGCTTGTGAATCAAAAGTGGAGCTGAGTGGACGAATTGGTCATGTGAACATGTTGGGAGTTCCAGATGGCAGTGCATAGCAATTGGGTATCCACAGAATGAGTTCCCAAACCCTTTAGAAAGGGATCACCATCTGCACAACAAGTAAGCCGGAGAGGGGGAACTGCTGACTTCCTCCCCTTGCTCTTCCCCTCCTACCATCACACAGACCTTACCCCTGACTCCAGAACCCCTGTACTTTCTTCTTACCACACCATTGCTAGGAAAGAAGGAGAATAAAGGACTTTTCTCCTGATGAGCTTCCTTCTTACACAGAAACAATTTTAGGCCCAATCCCACCTGTCCAGGAGGAAAGGAGAATGGAGTCATGTGTGGACCTGAAAGCTCAGCCTTAGGATCTCTGGATCTTTCCACTTCATATTCACACACTTCAAATTTAAAATCTATGTATGTTTGGGGTAGGGGCGACCAAGCTGTGATACATTTATTGGGTTGAGGGAAGACATGGGAATTTTCTCAGGCAAGTCATGTTTTAGGATATGAAAACAAACATTGTGAATCCCTAAATAGAAATACACTCATTCATCAAATATTCATTGTTCTGAGCAGACACACAAAGATCTTAGCATCATGAAACGAATGCATGGGTGGATGGATGGGTGATGAACAACCAATGCTTTCAGCACTATGAACAGTCAAAACTGGCTCATTTGTCCTGGGTGAGCTAGGTCCTGTGGACTGGCAGGCAACCTGGGGTCTTGGCACAAAGATAGCCACATCTTCCCAGTGGTTAAACACCAGGTTGACCAGTTTCCCTGACAGCAATATGGCATCCACAAGATGAGTTCCTCAGCCCTCTGGCAACGACATCACCATCTGTCAAACACCTAAGTAGTTAGAGGTCCTCAGCTGCTCCACAGTGTCCCCTCTGTGGGGAC